ATTGTGCATTAGTGAATTGCAACACTCTGCAACTGAATGTGCAACCATTTGAGGAGCATGATTCTAATGCTTAATGCACATCTGCTTATGCAACACACAGTGGTGCCACACACATAATGGCATCCCATAAAACATCCAGATATGTTTTCTGGATATGAGGATAGTGCATCTTTGCTACAACAGAGGAACCCTAAAGAGGGAGCCAAGGGACTAGGACTTAACTCTTTGAGGCTCTTACCTCCAATAAGGGTAAAACTTTAAAAAAAAATGGGATGGCATTTTTCATGTTTTACCTAAACAGCATCTAAAAGTTTTCCAAATGCAATAAGGCAGAGACTTCTTTAAAAATCATAGAACTATAGCTGGAAGATATGCCAAGAGCCATCCAGCCCAAACCCCTGCCATGCAGGAACACTCAATCAAAGCACTCCCTGTGACATATGGCCATCCAGCCTCTGTTTAGAAACCTCTAAAGAAGGAGACCACCAGTCTCCAAGGGAGTGTGTTCTACTGTTGAACAGCTCTTACTATCAGGAAGTTCTTCCTAATATTGAGCTGGAATCTCTTTTCCTGTCACTTGAATCTGTTGCTCTGTGTCCTAGTCTCCGGAGCACCAGAAAACAAGCTTGCACCATCCTCCATATGACATCCCTTCAAATATTTAAACAGGGCTATCATACCATTTCTTAATCTTGACTTCCCCAAGGTAAATATGCCCAGCACTCGAAGCTACTAAAGTGTGGTTTCTAGAGGTTTCCAGACCTTTCACTGTTTTCATTCCCCTTTACATTTTGGATGCCTTTGGCAAAGAAATTCAATGTTTACTGCCAAAAATGGGGGTGGGAAGATGCACACAGGACAGAGACAACCTGGAGCTCAAATGAGGTTTCTTTTTGTGTTGCTAATAGTATTTAAATTTTATTTCCTGTACATTATAACTTTTCATCTCTCAGTTCTAGCAAGGCTAAAAAAGAGTAATGGCCTCTGACTATATGGATGGCCCTCTGAGAACAATTATACCAACATCTTAACAAAATGTAAACCTATGACTCCATCATTATCATTTATTTTCTCCTGTTTTAACACCTTTGCATGATAAAGATGCCAGTGGAGCTTCGAAAGCTTGCATCTTGTATTTTGTGCATTTTGGTTGGCCCAGTAAAGGAATCTCTGTTTAATGGCCCCCATGTCTGACTCCCCTTCCACAACTTCAACTGAATAAGGATGTTATGCCATGGCCAGAAAAAAAGTACAATTCGGATCCCTCCATTTCTGGATAACTATCAGCCAATCTATAGTATTCCATTCTTGGGCAAGGTTCTGAAGTGAGTGGTGTCATCCCAGCTCCAAGGATTTCTGGATGAAATGGATTATCTAGAACCATTTCAAACTGGTTTCAGACCTGGCTATGGCATGGAGACAGCTTTGGTCACCTTGGTGGACACAGGGAATTGGACAGGGGGAGTGTGTCACTGTTGGTCCTGCTAGACCACTCAGCAGCTTTAGATACCATCAATCATGGTATTCTTCTAAGCTTCCTTCCTGGGATGGGACTTGGGGGCACTGTTATGCAGTGGTTCCAGTCTTTCTTGGAGGGGGGGACCCAAAAAGTGGTGTTGGAGGACTCCTATTTAACCCCTTGCCATATTATTGTAACCCACCTTGAATCCCACTGTGGGAGAAATATGGGATATAAATCCTTGAAATAAATAAATAAACCTCATGCTTAATTCACACTTGTGAAAGGTCACTAATGGGATACCAGGCAGATGCATGGCCTCACTACAGAGGTGAGTTATGAAGCTTGCAACGCCTTTGGGTGTCTATAGATGGACTATCCACTCTGAGAGCTTCAGCCAGGTCTGCTGTGTTAGAAATAGTGATCACATCCTCTGAGAAATGGAAACCAGCATATCTAGTTTATAAATGGCTATGGGAAAGCCCTACATACAATATTAATGAAGTTGAGTTTGATTGTCCTGTGCAAGTTTAACAAAATGGCAAACTGATCTCTCTTCAATACCAAAAGCTATCTTTGATCTACAAACACTGATGTTTCCAAAGTATTGAACAGCATTGTAGCTTTCTGAAAAAGCATTGTCTACTTGAACTGAACGTAAAGGTGCATCTATGTACTTTAACGGCCATGGCTCCATCCTACAGAAGAATCCTGGGATTTGTAATTTTGTGAGACACCAGCACTATTTGGCAGACAAGGCTAAAGACCTACTGCAGGGGTAGGCAACCTTTCCCCTTTAAGGGCCGAGGGACTTCAGCTCCCAGAATCCCAGGAGCTATTGGCCAACATGGGACTATTGGCCAACATGGCTGAGGCTTCTGAGAGCTGAAGTCCCTCGGCCCTTAAAGGGGAAATGTTACCTACCCCTGACCTACTGAAATCAGAAATTTCTAAACAAATCCAACTAGACAAAGGGTTTGAAGGGCTTATGGCAGCATTAAGCTGCACTTGTGCAGCTGAGGGAAAGGAACAGTTGTCACCTTCATGTAGGGATGGAAATATTTTTTAAAAAAAAAAAATCAAGAATGATGAAAAAATAGTTGTTATTAAATTTCCAGGAAACCTTGATGAGAAGAATCCTGAAGGGAATCTTTGCAGTTCACAACTTCTTCTATGTAAAACTTGTATGTGGTATTTTGATGAACAGGTATGGACAGAGAGAAGAGTATCTTCTTTGCAGGAAGCAGTGTACAGAACATGTTGTTTCCCTCAGAAAAAAAAATGCTATTTTCTGTGCCAAAACATCACTTGCACATTTTGTTTAGAATAAATTCCAAATTGCACCATTTTTATACAGAAAATAACATTTACTGTGCAGAAAATATTTCCTGTGCAATAAATTTTGTGTGTGTGTGTAAAATACAATGTGCAAATTTTGCACAAAATAGGTCCCAAGTGCAAACTGCTTTTGAAGGCTTTTCCCTAGCAAGAAGAAAATGGCTCATATAATTCCTGGATTCCTTTGAGAACAATATTAGTGAAGAACTACATCCATGCCTTCCTCTGCCTCTAGTCAGGAGTGCTGAGAATTGCAATCCAAACATTTCTGGTGGTCCAAACAATTCCCATTCCTGATATAATCATTGGCATGAAAAATAGAACATTCAACTAAAAAGAGGGTTTTAATCAAGAAAACTGTTCTCAACACTTTTCCACACTCATCATGACTCACAACCAGAGCAGGTGCAAGTAAACTGCAGGATGTAAAAATGTGACCCAAATCCTTGCAGAAAATGAAAAGCCAGAATGAAACCATCCTAAGAAGCTTTTCCTTTGTTTATCGCATTCTCCCAAAGTCCCTTATTTCATGCCCCAAACAGCCTTGCCCTAAATAAAATCATGCTATACAAAGTGCTCTTATGATTTCCAGCACTCATTTCCAGACAGTCTCTTGCAACTCTCAAGCCGTAACTATGACGAAAAGAGGTGACATCTAGCACATTGCAATCATCCCCTGCGATCATCCATCAAGGCCGTAGGTTGCACCAGGAGCTTCACTTTGGTGCAGAAGTGCAGAGACATAAAAATCATTCAGCTGCTTCACAGAATGGGGTGAACAGTTATTTCTCCAATTTGGAGAAGTTCATTGACAGCAGCATTGAAGGAAAGGAATCATACAGAGAAGTGAATCAGCAAACATTTACCTTCAGAGAGCTCAAGAGTGGATTTTTTGTAGGGATGCAAATAATGGTTTCAATCCAGTTGCTACTCCCAAGAATCGTAGACCTGTAAAATTAATTACTGAATGCCAGTGCAACACTTGATGTAAAGCTCCCGATGATGATGGTGGTGGTGGTGGTGGTGGTGATGATGATGATGATGATGATGATTGACTTAATTTCTGTGCCACCTTTTCTCCAACAAGACTGGTACTTAAGGTGGCTTCCACATTAAAAAGAGGACAATTTAAAACATCCAAAAACCCAATGTAAAAAAAGCAACTTAAACTATTAACCATACTAAAAACATTGTCATTGTTGTGTGCCTTCGAGTCATTTCCAACTTATGGCAAACCTATCACAGGGTTTTCATGACAAGATTTGTTTGGAGGAGGTCTGCCATTGCCTTCCTTTGAGTGTGAGAGAGTGTGACTTGCCCAAGATCACCAAGTGGGATATGACCGAGCAAGAGTTCAAACACCGCTCTCCAGAATCCTACTCCAACACCTAAACTATTTACACCATGCTGATTTTTAAAAGTTAAAGGATACAGTTTAAAACAAGATGACACTTACATCCTTCAATTCCAGATTCCAATACATCCTTCAGTTACATCCTTCAATTCCAAAAAGCTATCTGATTTAAAAAAAAAAAAAAGGTTTTGCCCATCAATGGCAGGAAAGCAAGCAGGGGACCATTCTAGCAACCTGAGGGGAGGGAGTTCCAAAGTTTAAATTGTCCTCTTTTTAATGTGGAAGCCGCCTTAAGTACCAGTCTTGTTGGAGAAAAGGTGGCACAGAAATTAAGCCAATCATCATCATCATCATCACCACCACCACCACCACCATCATCATCGGGAGCTTTACATCAAATGTTGCATTGGCATTCAGTAATTAATTTTACAGGTCTATGATTCTAGGGGCAGCCACCGAGAAGACCCTATTTCATGTTCCCACCAACCTGTGAAGGTGATAGGACTGAGAGAAGGTCCTGTCTTGTGGATCTCAGGGTCTGAGTAGGCTCATATGAGGAGATATCATCAGTCAGATAGCCTGGACTTAAGCTGCACAGAGTTTTATAGGTCATAACTAGTGCTTTGAATTGTACTGATTCCATAGGACTATTGTAGTTAGAGCTAGTAACTGGATTTTGGTAGGTATTTTCAGATACTCTCACTGTCGATGGGAGTGGCTGTTCTGACATGTTAAAACACTCCATTGACCAAAAACACCATTGGTTGTGAGATGTTTTTGCTCTCACAGAAGATTAGAAAAGCCAACAGAAGTAATAACAACAACAAAAAGGTAGTGGAGGTGTCGAGAGCCTGCGTAGTGTAGTGGTTTCAGTATTGGATTAGGAATCTGGAGGCCATGGTTCAAATCCTGGCTCAGCCATGTAAACCCACTGGGTGACCTTGGGCAAAGCACATTCTCTCAGCCTCAGAGGATGACAATAACAATCCCTCTCTGAAGAAACTGGCCAAGAAAACCTCATGGTAGGTTTGCCTTAGGGTCACCATAAATTGGAAATGACTTGAAGACACAAAAGAATAACAGGTGTGCAAAACACTGGCTGGAATTCTTGTTAGTCCCAATAAGAGTAGGCCCAATTAATAAATGCAACTTATGTAAGTGCTAACTTACAAAGTTTCAATTAATTCAGTGGGTCCACCCTAGCTAGGATGATGAGGACAGTGATTTACAACTAGCATTTAGTTATTAACTCTCAAG